TTCCTTTTGGTCTCATGGGCACCAGGATAAAAGAAACTTTCCCCCCCGGTCGATCTGGGCTGCCGTGTCATAGTTTGGCTGTGCCTTTGACGTGATAGGGCTTGCTAACATGAATGGATCCCTCGTAAAGAATTGAATATGGGCTGTCATCAATCTTAATTGTTACCAAGACCGTTTTTGTGCATTCTGCAACGGTGCCAAGTACCGTGTCTACACACGTGAGCATACGCGCAAGACCTGTGTTAGGTATTGCAACATGATCTGGATCTGCAGCTCCTGTTGGCTCTCAGCAGCCCTAGTCACTTCTCTTGGAGCCTGTGCACGCTTTCGTCCGGACGTGCAGTCCACCTTAGTGGAGGGCACCTCGAGTCGTGTCATTGTCACTTTGTTGCGAACGCGTCAAGTCTGCCACAAGTCTTGCTCAGTGCGCAGGCAGCCAACCTTAGTTGGTGGCCCGCTTCCTTTCGTAGGCCTAGTCTGCTCAGTGAGTTGCACCTTGGTGTCTCTACTAGGAGCTGGGCATGATGACCCCTGGGTGCCTCTCACCGATACAAGCATGCCCCACAACGACTTGGACGACCTTGATCTCACTAACGATTTCGGTGAGGAGAGCTTTCAGGTACCGCCACATGGCCCAGCTAACGCTGGCTGGATCACCCAAGCCAATGCTTATAGGTTTGTTCATGGCTGTCAGAATACTAATCACAGAGCAAAGTTTGAGGCCTACCAGGCTCTCAGGACTCCCAATCACATGCAAGCCTATTTTGGCCTTGACCACTGCTGGGGCAAGGAGGCGAAATCTCACAGGTCGGGCAGCCATGATCTGTAGGCTCGGTGGGAAAGACCATTGTGCGTCCTCTGCGACACCCGTTTCTTGCTGTTTGGGGAGGGGCGCGAAGCTGTTTGGAAATGGGATGAAAGCAAAGTCCCAGACAGTGGGCTGCTTTGCCGGGCTGCCTTGTCGCGACGAGCTTCCTGGATGTTCCTATCCGATTTGCGTTTTGCTTGGGGGACAAATTCCAGCAAAACAGCCAGCGCTGCAACACCCCTGCGGTGTCTTGCAGGACCATCGGTAAACTCGCCCCACTTGGCACCCTATGTGGACTTCATCAAATGACCTCTGTGATCAAAGTCCATGTGTTGCAGGTGAGGGAGGCAGAAAGCCGCAGCATGGGACCAAGTGGAAAAGCAAATCTGGTACTCGTGCAGCAGCTTGGAGTAACTTGTACATAGGTTTCGTGCTGCAGGACAGCAGGGCTGGACCACAGACGGTGCGAGGCCTTGACGCTTTCTGTAAAGGACAATTGAGGAAGAAAGAGAGCCAAGATGACAAAGACTTCTCGAAACGGGATGGGTTTGAGCATGGTCCGAGCCATGTCAGTTAGCCATCTTGCACATTCATTGTTCTCTTCTTTGCCAACTCGAAAATTGCGGAGGAGCAATGTTTGGGCTTCCTCCATCAAGCTAATGCCCTGATCCGGAACGCATTGTTGTAATAGGTGAAGGAGATCAGGATCCGGTCTGTGTATGTTCGCAACGACCATGTCTATGGCTCCTGCCCAGTCTTCGCGGAGCATCAGCGTTTCAAATCGTATCCATGAGGCAAGTCTCATAGGTGCAGCCATGCGGTCTCGTGTGGGGATAACTTCCGAGTGACTTAGTTTTAAATCCACCAAAATGACTTTGCCTAGAGGTAGACGACCATACAGCCAGTGCCAATATTGGTGCTTGCTGCTGCCCATCCATCGAGCAGACTCAGTGACATAAGTGATGTGTAGACTTTGTTGTAGCATCTGCAGTTCGGTCACGTCAGGACGCCAGTCACACAAGGCATCTTCCTCAGCGTGGACCAAATAATAATGACGATGGTCAGGATCCGCTGTGGAGACTGGGGCAGCCAGGACACTACGAGGCATGGCAATAGTATAGCACCTAATCGAGCAGTGAGTTGGCAGCCCGACAGCTAGCGCCACCACAGCTCCCGTGTAGCTGCCTGCACTGAAGCCTTCAACTACGAAATGTGGCGGTGTGGCTTGATCGGTACTGTCTAAGTGGCTCAGTAGAGGGAGACTTGCAATCAGTTTGATTGGCTGTATCGACAAAAGCTTCCACCAAAGGCCACTGAGGAAGGATTGGTGGGGTAGTCGATGGTGTGCTGGTAGAAGGCGAACGGCCGACAGGACCAGTTGGGTTATCCACTCGATCTTGAATGAGAGGGAGGTCTTTTCACCTGGAATGCCAGTTCACCCGTGTTTAAAAAAGAGTGCACTCAGTTCATGTTCAATGTGTATTTTTGTGTAAGGCGTTGTGGACCGGAACTCAAGATTGCGGTCTGCTGGTTAGCTGTTTAAGGTCGGCCAAAACGCAAGCATTTCGAGCAAAGCGTTGCTTCTTGTGGACTTGGCATGTTTTCACATGAATGTCTTCTAGCTTGCGTTGTGTTCATGACCCAAGTGCATTCCAGGTCCAGCACTTTCGCGGCCCACCCTCACCACCCTGAAGCGTCTTTCGCGAGGCTTCGTAGAGTTTTCGTAGGCCAGGCCCCAAGCCAGAGTGAGGGCTGGCACTCCTTTGACCTTTGACGTTGCCTGAAGAGGAATGCGCTCAGTTCATGTTCAGTGTTCCTTTCTTGTGCAACGTGTTTTGCCATGTTTTGCCAAACAACAAAAAGATGCTGCAAGTCGTCAGCCTGCTGAACGGAACCACACACAGATGAACCTGGAGGAGTCGATGTGTACAAATTTGGACTCAGCAAGTTCCATGCTGGCCATTGCAGTGACCTCTTGGTACTTTTGTTGACGAAATTGCAGGTTTTCTCTACGAAATTCCGTCAAACCAAACGAATGAAACATGGGGTAGAATTGTTTCATTTTTCTACCATTGGTTGGCTTGCTGCAACAGAGCAGCAAACTTATCAAAATGGAGTATGCATCTGGAAGAATGAATCAAATGCATGTGGGTCGAAACTTCGCTCCTGAAGATCTCTGTGTGAAGGGTTTTGTGTCTGACCCAAAGCCATCCTGAACAACCACACCTGAAGCGGCTCTTTAGGCCATGCGGATGACCTGTCGTGCTTTCGGGAAAGATCACTTTGTTTGCGGCAAACACTTCTACTTTTTCTACTTACAGAGTCAGGCGGTTGCGGTTTCGACGGACACCCGTGTATTTGGAGCCAGTCCAGCGAGCCGAAGGTGTGATTTTCTGGACCAAGAGATGCAAGTCAGAAAACGGAACCAAAATAGTCGTTTTGGAACAAAACAAGATTGGATTCCATTTGCATTCCATTTCCATTTTCATTGGGGCATTGAACCTGGCCAAGTGTTGAGTAGGGAAAACGAGATTTGCAAAAAGTGACATGAACAGGGCAACGTGAGTATATACATTTACATTGTAGTTCTTTGCAGCCCATTGTGCTGCCATGGCAAAGGATGTCAGGAGACGCACCAGTGTGCTGCCTTGCTATAACTATAATCAGGTTTCCTTTCATATCAATCGGAGGAACTTCCACAGTGTGATCGTCGCTGAAAGGTTTGGATCCAATCGCTGATGATGAGAAGGGACATGTGAATGCGAGCAAGCCAAACAGGTTTCCAACAGTTCCTTTGGAAGGGATTTGTCAGTACCAAGGTGAAGCAAACCGGAATCAAAACAGAACATGTGCAAACCTTTGGATTATTCCGACCCATGAAAGGTATGGTGCCTGATCCATTGTTCAGATTCTGGTGTTTTTGGATTCGTCCTTTGAACATTGTCTGGTGGTATTATCAATATCAGTCTTGAAAGACAAACAACAAGAAGGTATTGCACTCAGACTTTCAAGCACTTTAAAATTGGGCGAACATATAATTTTACTATGTTTCCGTGAAGAATACTCTTGGGATAGTACAGTAAGGTGTCTTGTTTGGAGTCCAAGTGGTTTTCCCATTCAAGACAGATCTCTCGCAGTTCTAGGATTCTTTGATTCTTTCGCTATTTTTCATTGCTTCTCCTTTTTGGCTCCAACATGAGTATCACAAGCTTCGCATCCACAGCTGACTTACGATTGTAAGTAGAACAACGATTGCGGTCCCCAACTTTTGTGTGTACTACGCTGTGCTTCACTTTTGGGCACTTCTCCTCTTAGCGGCGCCATCCTTTCACACCAGGAATCCGGAATTTTGGAACAAGTTTATGCAGCGCCCCGAGGCGGACATTTTTTTGGATGGTTGGTTCCTCATTGTACCTGCCTGACAAGCCAGCAAAAGGGCATCCACACAGAGTTCAGCTCCCTGTATCAAATGTTGGATTCAATGCAGATTCTCTTGGCCCAACCGATCAGAACCTGGGATTGCAGAGGTTGTGTTCACTTGCCGACAACTATGATTCGTTAGTCAAGACTTCGCTTGGGATGGCTTGGTTTGATGCCGAATGCATTATAAAGGTCAGTTTGCACCCCCTGTAGGTGCAGGTGGCCATGCGCTCCAAGCTCAAGTATGAAAGCGCTGCAGAGGTGGGGCAAAACATGTATATAGTATGGGGGTGAAGCTGAGAAACCGAGAGAACAGGCAGTCCGCACTCCACGAAGAGAGTCTTGTCAATGCCTCCGACTGATGAGCTTGTGTGGCCTCAGCCACTGCTAGGCTGCGCAAAGAACAAAGCTTGACAAACTGGAGCGCAAACAGAGAAGGCCAAGACCGGACCCATTTTGCTGGGCTTTTGTCGAGTTCATGCAAGAGCTTTGACAAAAAGAGCAGAGCTGGTGTCGGTTCCCGCAAAACCTGGAAGTCTTGCATTAGTTTTACAGCAATTTACAGTTCGCAAGCGACAACAGGAAGGATGTTATGCGAATGAATCTTGACTAGCACTGTAAAATTACAGAAATGAGAACAAGGGATATGGGAAGGCTTTTGACTACACAACGCATTTGCAGTTTTTAGCAATCACCTAATTCTAATAGGTGCAGACTCTGTAGACAAACATGCGTGTGCATATGCGCCGAATGCCCCACCAATGCTGTGGAGATGGGCCAGGAAGGCAGAACTATTGGAGGTCGCTTCCTACTGACGAAGATGCTTGGAGCTGGATCCTTTGGTCAGATTTACATCGCGAAAGATACAAAAAATTGCGACCGTGAGGTTGCCCTGAAGCTTGAGGTGAAGGATACAAAGAATCCTCAACTGATTTATGAAGCCAAACTCTTGAAGCTCCTGCAGGGTTCCCCTGGGGTTGCCGAGGTCTACTACTTTGGAGTAGAAACCGATTATGCAGTGATGGCTATGGAACTCATGGGCCCTTCCTTGGAGGATGTTTTCAACCTTTGCCGCCGGAAGTTGTCCTTGAAGTCCACACTGATGCTGGCAGACCAGCTTCTCCTACGGATCGAGTACTTTCACAGCCGCCACTACATTCACCGTGACATTAAGCCAGACAATTTTCTCATAGGTCGTGGACAAAGGTCGAACATTGTGTACATTATCGACTTCGGCCTTGCCAAAAAGTACAGAAACCCAGATACCCTTGTACACGGACCTTACCGAGAAAATAAGAACCTCACAGGTACAGCACGCTATGCTTCGCTGAATGCCCATTTGGGCCTTGAGCAAAGCCGCAGAGATGATCTTGAGGCGATTGGCTTTGTGTTAGTCTATTTCTTGAAAGGTTCATTGCCTTGGCAGGGCATCAAGGCGGATGGCAAGGTTGACAAGTACACCGCCATTATGGAAAAGAAGTTAAGCATGACCTTTGCCGAACTTTGTCAAGGAATGCCCGAGGAGTTTGCGGCCTATCTCACGTATACTCGCAACTTGGAGTTTGATGAAGAGCCAGACTACCGATATTTGCGATGGCTTTTCCAAAGTCTTTTCCAACGCGAAGGTTTTCAGAATGATGGCTGCTTTGACTGGAATGTCGTGAAGCATCGGCCAGATGTGCAGGTCAGCGAGCTGAGAGAGGCTAGGCTCCGCCGTGAAGTTGTGGGAAGCCAGCGCACTGATAGAGCCCCTGCTGATGTGGTGCTTTCAGTTCGATCTGGCTCACACTGAAAAGGACTACCGAAGGAAATGCTTCATCTATATTGTGTTCTTGTGCCACAGAGTTGTTAAGCTGCGCTTGCCAGGTATGAGATTATGGATGAGTTGATGAAGTGTGCCACCAACATTAAGCATTTGATCTCTCCTATGTTCCGGCCTGCGCCTTAGAGCTGCTTATCGATGTGGGCCCTATACAGTCGCAGGTAGAACCAGTTTGGTGAGTGTCCAAGTGAATAAGTTCGCTAGTTGCTTGATTGAACATCGAAGGCCTTGGCAATACAACTCAAATAAGTACTGTCAAGGTCGCGTCTGTGGCATTTGTGTATACGGTCCTTCAGAGCGGGGCGAGGTACAAAATCACCCAGCAGTACTTGTGGAAGGCGAAGAGCACAAGTGATGACCTGTGAATTGCAGCGGAACCAGGTTCATGTTATTCCAGCATTTTGCCCTGTAATGACCACACCTGGCTGCAATCGTGAGCGCCTGTAGACCCTGCTAGTCGGACACAATAGGGCCTTTGTCCCCAGCAATTTTTCATTAGCTCAACAGGCCTGTCTGCAAACGTCAAGTCAATGTGTTCACTGGTCCTTGAATGCTTTGCTGACAGGTGCTGTGCGAAGCACGGAAGGAGGGGATGCTCTTCTGTGACAAGCTAAGGTCATTGGTGCGTTTGGGAGCAGTCAGCGGTTGTAGATATTTTGCTGGGTAAGACATGAGCTGCAAGAATCCAGCTTCTGTTTCCAGCGCACATTGCGACACGGTTTCGGACGTGCTATCAAAAATGCTCAAGTCCCGCTCAATCTCCTCAACAACAATCTCAATCCCATCCAGTTTGCTTTGCCAAATTCGAGCTTGTTGTGATAGGACCATGCAAGAAGCTGACAGAAGTGGTGTATCTGGCACGATAAGACAAGTGCTGTACTTACTCCTTTTCACCTGGTGACATTTGCCAAGTGCAGATCTCCAAATCCAGATAGCCCAGCCGGGGCTCAGCCACTTCCCAATATCCACAAAGCGAAGGCAGCCGCAAGTCTACCACAGGCTTCAGGCAATCAAGGCACAGCCGACCTTGGAGTCTCAGTTCATGGTACCCAAAAATGCAAAACAAAGTTTTCAAGTCCAAGTGTAGTGTAGACTAAGCCATACAGGCTCTACAACACGTTGAAGGTGGTGCCAAGAGGCTAAGAGCAAGGTTGAAGGACGCATGTATTGGTCATTTGTCCTGAGATGTAGCTTGATTTATGGCACTGCATTAGTTTGGACTGTTTCTTGATACCCTTCAAGGTTTTTGCAATGCTTCGTTGGTTTGGGTGATACTGATTTTAGGCAGTCGGATGTGCTTGTGAGCAATTGCCTTTTCCGATATGATAAGATGCACAAACTTTAGGTTGATGTTCATTTGTTTGACGTAGAGGATTTAATCTAACCTTATGAGTAGCAAGTTTGCTTAAGCAAAGTGAGCGTCGTGATGGTATTTGAAGACACTAAGCACAGCACAAAAAGCTGTTTGATAGAACTAATCCTACTTCAATCAATGAGGGTCATATTCGGATAGGGTTTCTATGTTGAATTGCCAAGCATCGTATGACAGTACAGATCTTTTTACACTATGTACGTCTCCTGCGAACCTGTGCAAAACAGGGAAACAACTCTCGTATGATCATGTGGTTGTGGAACCTGCAGGCTTTTGCAGTGGGTGGAAGGGCTGGCAGCGGTGAGACGCAATCGCAAGTTGGCTGGGTACATAAATTCTTTGGTAATCATATGCACACTTAACCATGATCGTGAGGCTCGTCTCAAGCTTCAGGGAATGCACAGTTGGGGTGCTGTGCTGGTTGAAGGCCGTCGCTGTTCTCCTCTCTTTCTGCCTCCCTTGCTTGCCCTGTGCACTGCCACCCCTTGTCCTTTTTGCCATTCCTGGCTGGCCTTGCTTTGGATCTGTGAGAGCTATCCAAAGCAGTGAGGGACTTGACTTTGGCTTTCCAGCCATCAAGAGAGGCAGGAGGAGCCTTCTCCTCACCGGCCCTGCGAGTTTACCCGCAGTATACCAGCGCTACCTAGCGCCGGCGGTCGGCGGCGGACTTTCCAGGGCCCCGGCTGGCCCGACTTCCTTCACAGAATATTCATTTGGTTGGGGCAAGTTTGAGTTCTACAAAAAAGCACTCTGAAAAGAGAACTGATGGAGGGAGCTCTGGCGACAGTCACCAAGTTAGCGACAGAAAGGGGAGGATCGCTGCCGAATGCAAAGCCCTCAAACTTGCCAACTAAGGGGCCAACTTTTGCGATTTGTCAATTGGCTTGAGGCAGCAAGGGATTGATGGAAGTATCTAAGCTACGGGCTAGCTTGAACACTTCGGGAGTAACGGCGCAGCTATCTCAAAGTGTCAGACTCTGCTTACACTCTCTTCATCATGGAGAGATCGCAGTATAGAGATACCGTCGACGGGCTCCTTGATGGTGGCCATCGTGAGGTCGAGAGTACGAGAGTGGCCAGTTCATTTTTGCATGAATTTGAGCAGTTATGAGTCAGCTTTGATAACTTTGATCTGAGAGTGTTGCTGGTGAGTTGGTTTTGACGCAGTATTGGTGCCCATGGCCCCGAGGTTGGGAGCAAGATTAGTCATATCTTGCGCAATCTCTTTGACTAAAAAGCGAAAAAGGAATCAAGGGGGGCTCCCGAGAGGGAGGTCATGCTGGGCGATGAGATTGATGCTGCTGGACATAGCCTCCCGATTCATTTGTATTTCTTTCATAGACTTTGGCACTTGGCTTTGGCCTTTTTAAGGCAGATGCAGGGATCTTGCGATTTGGTGTGCTCCTGGATGGCAGTGGAACCTAATGGCGTGACAACCTGGGTTCCTTTAGCCGCAGGATGTTGAACAGACAAAACCCACTTCGCAGCCCATGCCATTTTGGAACGAAAAGCTAGATAGGCAGGGGCCAGACACCAACCTGCGAAGCTCAAAGGCCCTGACCTTTTCCAAGCATCTGCCGAAAACAGCGCAACTTTGGAGCTGTTGGGGCTGACCGAACTTTTGCTGACGGCAGAAAGCTCAGGTGGTCTGCAAGCGCTGGGCTTGGGGTCTTTGACAGCAGATGACTTAGCACCGACTAGGAGACTTCGTCGTTGCTTTGCTTAAAATATGTCTTGGGGACTTTGATGTTGCCTGGAGACCTGGCAGCCTGTAAGCCTTCTCCTTTGATGGAAAAGAGCGGATCTTGAGTGGTTGCGCGTGACCCCTTTTTAACTTGGCTGCAGAAGATTCTTTGCTGCTGCGTTGAAAACTTGCAGCCTCTGTGATGCCGCCCTGAAACCTGGCTCCCTGTGGACCTTCTTGTTGTGGAAAAGAGCGCGTCTTGAATGTAAATGTAAATACATATACATACATATAAACACATGTATGTACACCTGTGACATGTAGACACACATATATATATATATATATTTACTTATGTGCAATTTGGATCCCATTCTGGCCTAAGGGTGGTGGAGCGCTTAGTTCGAATGCACGAACTTTGTTTGATCTGATTGTTCAAAGTTTGGCAAGATCTGACATTGTTTTGGATTTCTAAATCGCCATTGCGAAGCCAACAAACTTCAACGAACGGTGCTGTGGTAAGCCCTTCACCCTTAGTCTTTCGGGATGGCAGCGCGCGCTTTCCATCGTGCTCGTTTGTTGCCTGGTTTTTCTTGAAGTGCTGATTGTTCATCCCGTTGGCTTGCAGTTAAACGGCAGGCAGCAGTTCTTACACAAACGCAGGTTTGTCGTTTTGTGGTTGTTTAGTTGTTGCTTCTGGACCACCACGAAACATGCACATCACGACATGGTTGGTGCCACATGAAAATTTGATTTCCAACGCAACTGTTTTATGTTTTGTTTTCAACTACACGGGCCTCACAAGAGCCAGCAGTTCAGACGTGATACACGTGGGACGTGATACACGTGGCTTGGCATTATATATGTATATGTATATGTATACGCATACGTATATGTATATGTATACATCCATACATCCATCCATCCATCCATTCATCCATCCATCACGTACAAGCCTATCAACTAATCAATAGAATAACACCCAAGGCTGTTCGTAGAAGAATACAACTTCGAGATAAACATGGTCAGCCTCTAGGACCTGTGGAATCGCATGCAGCCCTGGTGAACTTTGTACGCACGACATGGGCTGATCCGCAAGGGAGAACCATCCCTGAGCCCACCACAGAGATCACATGGTCTGGTTCCAAACTGCCCACTCATTGCATGCCTTTTACACTGGATCAATTGCAAACTGCCATTCGCAAACTCAAATGGAATAAAGCGGTAGCCGCCCCTTTTGCACCGGGTTCTCCTACCAACTCCAGCCCACACCAGTACATTGGATGGGCTTTCACACTCGATGCCACCACATCCACATATGATCCCAGAAGCCAAGTCTGCGTATTTGGCTTGTGCGCCCACACCCAAACCATGGGGCAGCTTCGGCGACTCGGGGCCATCACAGGAATCCCCAAAGGTCCCCAAAGCCAGAGCTCTCTTTGCCGGCCTGGTTGCAATGACCAAACATACCACCACTCCGGTCAAGGTCATTGTTCAGCTGAGCGCTGTCTGGGAAGCATGGCATCAAGCACCACATCAGCGCCAATTCCAAGACCTCCTGGAAGACCTCACCACACAGGACAGAAGGAGAGTCACAGTGCTCTACATAAGCAAGAACAGCAGGGCACCAGATGCACCCGGCAATGAACCACAACTCCTGCGCAGGCAGAGAGATGCTGCCCTCACAGCCTGGGAGCGTGCCAATGCGATGCACGATCGCAAGCGCACCGAATGGCGAGAGACAGTGGACCATGATCACACGCAGATCTACAAACATGCGGTCCAAAGGCTAGAGAAGATCTATGCGGACAAACAGCACTACACACACAGCAAAGCACCCAGGCAACAAGGCAAGCAAACCAAGCAACACAAAAAGGACTTGGTACAGCAGTGCCGGAAGCCCTGGACCCCACACCGCACACCGCCACAGGTGGGAACCGCATTGCAGTGGGTACCACTGCCATGCATCAAGGATTGACCACCCCAATCCTTGAGGCACGGCTACAGGAAACCTGTCCACAGCTGCAGGTTGACGCCAACAGCCCAGAAACACCACCAGCAGCACCAGCCCTAACCAAGAAACCCACCAGAGCCCAGCTCGTCAAGGACCTGTTACACGAACAGCCAACACAGCACCTGGCAAAGAGCAACACCACTTTGAAGAAGAGACAAAGGGCTACCTCAAGTGCATCAAGTGTGGAGCCAGCATCCACAAACGCACCAATGGGAAGGCGTTCCACGACTACGTCACCAGTCCATGCCTCGACCAAGCCTACCAGGCAGAGCATAGCGGCCATCCTAGCCACAACCTCTGGCAGAAAGGAGAACGGATCAGCTGCACCCTATGTGGCCTCCAATGGCACATGGACAGCCAAAAACGGATCATCAGCACAGCTGGCTTCCATCGAGAGTGCAAAGGCGCAGGCTTCAAGGGCTCACCACCACCCCAGCACTTTTTCAAACCACAAAGCCAGCAGGGCACACAAGCCACACAGAGCACTGCAGCTGTCCACCCGATGGCGCCAACCCACAAAGAGTGGAACACCGGCCCAACACCTCGAAGGCTGCACTTTCGCACAGAACTCGACACGAGAGAGCTTGAAGATGCCACCGACCAGCCTGCCAAGGCCATGAACCCCAGCCAACAGGCAGGAGCACAACCCAAGGCTGCTACCACAACAGCTCGGCCGATGCAGACCCCAGAAGCTCGTGATAGAGCTGACCAGGAAACTGCTGAAGAAGCCACACTTGAACCAGATGAGATGATGGCAGTGGATTTCTTCCAGCACGACTACATGGCGGAGCTGCCGTGTACATATGCCAAAGGCATCGTGACCTCTGCAGAGAGAAAGCCCCTCTAGGAGAAAAAATCCATCCATCCATCCATCCATCCATCCATACATACATACATACATACATACATATGCATTTTTTCTCCAGTTTTGCCAGCGGTAGGCGGAGATCACGGCGGGCCCATACGGAGTGGCAGGTTGGCAGGCGGAAGAAGAGGCCAGGGTCAAGAGAAGTCACAGCGGTCATTTTGAGGCGACCTTTCACACAACCAGTTGCCTGTTTGTGCTACTTGCCCCAAGGTAGAAGAAGATCTGATGGACAAAATGGTGGTGGAAGCTGACTGCATCCCCGGTGGGATTGACGGAGAGGCTTGTACCATTGAGAAAATTTCTTGGGTATCATCAAACAATTGGTGGGATATGTTTAACCAAGGCACTTGCAAACCCATGACTAAGAAACCCTCATTTCCTTCGTTTGATGCCTTAACGCCAACCCGGTCACAGGCCAACAAGTTGAGAATCAAAACATCGTTTGATGATGAACTACCCTGTTGCGTGCCATATGAGATCAAACATCTGGTTGAGGGCTGACACTCAACAGTGCGACATGCCAACTGTGTGAGGCACCTGATCGCAAGCAAGTCTTGGATCGCCGCGAAATCCAGGCATCCACTTCATCAAAAGGAGACAAGGTAGGAGTTAATAAGAATACTTCCTACTTTAGAACTTTTCAACACCGCATTTGCATGCTGATATCTCCATTTCATGTGATGTGGCAGGGTTCTACTTTCCAAACCTGCGGGCCCATTGATACCCTTGGAACTGCTCCTTCTTGATGAAGCACATCCTGGATTCTGAAGGGCCGTTTGAAGTATGGTTGAAGAATGAGCAGGAAGACTGGAGGTCACCGAGCAGAAAGGGTCAAGAAGCAGCGGGATGAACCAGCAGCCGACGTCAGTCCAGCGTCGTCAGGGAGTTCTCGACTTTGGCCAGAAGATCAAATCAGAAGGAAATGAGGCCCGAAGTACAGAATCCGAAGCGAAGATTGACATCCTGAATAATTTTTTGCACACCTAGGTCTTACTGTACGCATACAACTATGGCCTGTCACTCCACGCTGAGTCCTGATGATGAAGATCGGTGTTTGGAGTTTTGTGTGGCCTAGACCTTAACTTGTGGAGGCTTTCCTCAACGAGAACTGGGAGGGAGCCCTCACCAGGCCAAGTGGGGCAGACTTGCTTTGCCTGAGTTCACATGTGTCGAGCATGTGTCGAGTCGACTATTATTTTGTAGATGGACGCTGGTGCAGTACGATTGAGTCGCACGAGTGACTTTGAGATGATTCATGCTTTGAGAGGTATTGTCAAGGTGATGAAATGCTGAAGAACTTTGCTGCAGAGCCACATCTAGACAAAGAGAACAAGGCCGGTCCTACAAGTGCATCCAGAGAGCTTCTGATTTCGGTGAACCAACTGTGACTTCCTCTCAAGACTCTAGATCTCTCCTTGGGTGGCCGCAATGTCTCAGAGTTTCCAGGAACTGAAAACCATGCATCGCCAGTGCTTGAACAACAAGGCCATGGGAACCACAGTGTGTCACATTGGGCTTTTGATGCTGCTGTGCAGGCTGCGCGCACTGTCAGTAGTTCCTAACGGCTCAACTGTTGACTCTTGCATCATTCGGTCTAGTCCAATACCAACTGAGCAGACGGCCACTAGAAAGGTAGTCATTGACCTAAACTCTGCATTCCCACAGGCCTTGATAAGATTTCAAGCTTGTGAAAAGCTCAGGCAACTCTTTGCATTTGTCAGATCAGGCCAATGCCGCGCTCCAGATGGATCAATGGCAGACAGCCTTGAGAGCGCCCGAAACAAAGATCTTCAGCCATGGGTGTTTTTTTTGAGAGAAGATGGGAGTAGTTAATCTATTCTTGGAAGACTTCTCCTGAGCTTGCTCTTGTCCTTCTCTTCTAAGAATGCTTTCGTTTCTTGGATATGCAGGGTCCATAGATGAAATAGATGTGAGACTGATGTCGACCTTTTGGGGAAGGATTCTTTGTGAGTCGCCGTTCCGAGGGCTGAGTCTGCACTGAAGCTGAAGATGGATGATGAGAAGGTGACCAAAGCCGTTTTGGATGTGGTTGTGTCACAATGCGATGCTTTGACTGGACACGTACCTCATAAAGAAATATGCCAGCATAGACAGCATGATTTTTGGCTTGGTGATAACGTCTGCATTGGGAATGGCATGTAAACAAAAATTTTTAGAACATAGTTCCTGATTGCCGAGGTCACATGTGCAAACACGAAGTGATATATGTCATGAGAAAATCCGAGGATGATAGCAAACGCTGCATCACTGTTGCATTCATAGCTACATGACATCATGAAAACATATCCGGAGGGGATGAGGCCGGGGATAAGGCGGTGATAAAATCGGCCGACACCAGACCTGGACAGGGAAAACGCAGGGCCTCCAGAGAGACACACTTAAGATTTTGCATACTGATTTGGTTGCGGTTTGCCACACGCCGGCCTAAGTGAAAACCTAAGGTTCCAGGTAAGTTGTAAAAGTCCTCAACGTCTCAAAAAGTTCTCAAAACCTTCCAAAGGTTCTAAAGGTTCCAAATTGGCAATGCCCGAATCCGAAACGCGGCGACAAGCTGGCGGCGTTCGTGCATGACTGCAGAATGCATTAGCAATTTACATCACCTGAGAAACCTGCAAAGCGGCCTCGGTGAGGGCGACCACTGGAGTGATTGTGTTCGAGGCAGGTACGCTGGGATGATCAGACCCAGTATCACCAGGAAAGCGAGAGTGTCTTCGTTGGTGGCAGACTCTCGTTCCTGCTGCCACCCCTGCATAAAACTTCAAACGGCCACGAAACATGTTCCAACAGGAACCTTGTGACTCCAAAGGTTACACACACACACACACAGACGGCCTGGACAAGGCCTGGAGGAGGGCACTAAGCTGTGTGGTACAACGTCGTAGCTTTCCCTAACCTTTGCCCCATCGCTTTCAAGCGCCTCCGAAAGCCATGGTCAGCACCTCCTTTGGCTCCAGAGCCTTTGCAGCGACAGTTTGATGTGCGCTCCTGTCCCCGGTCTTGTTTACACGGTGTGACATGTTGTTTTGTCACCTGAGCATACCTGAGCCGTCCCTTGTGCAATGCCACTCATGATGTATAAGTTGTGCAACGGTGTGGCGATCTGGATCAGGGCTTGTAGGCCTTATGGCGGCGCTGGCGGTACGTGACTCCCTGCACGGGTAAACTGCATTCTGGTTCCGAAAACCAACCTGGTCGGTCTGTAGCTATTGAGGTAGATCACGATCTTTTCCGCAAGGCTTCACGGCTTTTTCCACGACGATGACGACGACTACGATTACGACAATAGTAGTAGTAGCAGCAGCAGGAGTAGTAGTAGCAGTCGTTGCCGTCGTCGTCGTCGTCGTGTAGTAGTAGTAGTAGTAGTAGTAGTGGTAGTGGTAGTAGTTGTGGTAGTGGTAGTAGTGGTAGTAGTGGTAGTAGCAGCAGTAGTACTACGACGACTACGCCAATTTTGTTTTTTCACTGATTGGTTGCAATAACTATTGCCGGTCGCGTAGGGGCTACTTATATAATATTGGTTGGAAACTTGTCATTTTTTGATGGCTCACCTATTCTGGAAACACTGGGTACTTGCGGTTTGTCCTCTTCCCACATGCAACCTTTGCGAAACGTAGGGCAGTTGTGGCTAGCAACTACATCACCCATTTCATTGCCAGCAAGCGGCAGTGTTGCTTGATGGTCCCTCCTTTTCCCAGGACATTGGCCCGGTGGGTCATGGAGTGCAGCAAGGCATCCCTGCATTTTGAGTTTCACTCTGACTTTCGCCTAAAAAATTGGGAACCTTCGATCAGCCCCAGTCTTCCAGCCGATCCTATCATATTGTGGCTGCCTTCCTCGCATACCTGGTCGCTGTAGTTGCAAAAGCGATTGCCGTTGGGTTCGGTCTTGAATGTTGGAGGTGCGAGTGCCATCATCCATGTGGTTGGCGTTAATGCTGGCTTCTCCGATGAGCTTGGTCTAGATTGCCAGCATATCCTGCACCTGCATCGTGTATTGGCAAAGCAAGACTCCTTCCTCTGGTAGATCCGGACGTGGTTCGGGCTCTCCTTTCTCGTTTTTAAGGACCTTGTGTTGGCAATTGCAAGGTTTCGCAGTCACTGCAGGGCCACACTCAAAGACCAAGCAGTCGTTGCCTGGTCACAGAATTTGTTTGCTGCAATTTGGTTGCAATTGGCTTTCTTTACCCGCCCCATCTAATATGCATCCCAACCGCCTTCAGCTCTAAGTTGTCCTGATCGTCCGGGTTGTGCGAACCATATCTTGAAGACCACTAGACTTCCCGGAGCGGAGGCCCATATGAAGGCTCTGAAGCTGTCCAAGCTGTTCCGCTTTCTCCAGCGGGGTCGTCCTCCTCGTGCTTTGAGACCTCGGAAGTGTTGTGGACTGGCTAGGCTGAGCAAAAAAAACAACATCGCTGCATCTATTATTGCATCTATGCCATATGTCATCTGCCCTACTCTCATACTGATGGGTCGTAGTAGCAGCAGTGTGGATCATTGCTCGTCACTGAGTGGATCTGACATTGTTCGTACACCGGAGCTTGTAATAGGTGCAATTCGAATCTGGCCTTGATTGAGTTCGTTTAGATTAAGCACGTTGTGAGCAGGTTGAGACCCATCTACTTTATCATACCTAGCCACAACATGATCCAACTCTTGGGCACCAAACGTCCAAACGTGACTTTGACTCAGGCACTCTTCCGAAAGGCTCAAGCTTTAGAGGGCCATGACCTCAAGATGTACTTCGTAGACCTTTGATCGAAGAAATCATGGAACGTCTAATGGATGGATTGGGTGTGCTCGAGATATCCACTTGTACGGTCCGCCCGTTGGACTGAGGTCTTGGGCGAACCGACGAGGCAGCTGACATTGTTGTGTTAAGAGACAAATGCAAGCACGGTCTGAAACCAGAGGCCGCGTGTTTAGGATCCCAATAACAAGTCTATTTTGGAAAAGATAGGAAAAACGGGAATGAAGAAAGGACAAAAGAAAGAAAAAAAGGTCTGAAGGTCTAAACAACAAAGCAAAGCCAGGAAACAATGAATTCTTGACAGTTCCAAAGAGCGGTAAGCAGCTTGCAGATGACTTTGGTTCTGTGGGGATGCCATCTACGGGTACGCAATGTAGGCGCTGGAAGTGCTGGATGAAGTCGAACAGATCGCAGAAGACATGGATCAGGTTGGAGCCATGTTGCACCGGAATCAAATTGGCTGCTACTTTTGTTGTCCCTCCCAATTGGTGACGCAGTTGAACAAGATGGTGTGGTCTTTATGATTTGGTCATTCAATCTTCTTTCTGCTGGACCTTGAAACGGCCATCATGGTTGTGCTGGGGCGGGGGCGATCGCAACTTTCTTTTGACGGCTGCTTGTTGCAATTGGCAGGACTTCCGCGAACATATCATGGATGACGTCCGCGAACGGCGGGAGGACATCATGTTCAAGTTTTTGTTATCATGCCAAGACACGTTTTGTTGCTTTTCGACTTTGGTTTGGTAATCATCCAGTGCCGTTGATGCAAAAAAAGTGGCCATGGGCAGATGGCAATGCAGTTTCACATTTTTATCATTTTTTATCCATTCAAAAGTAGAACTATATATTTTCTCCACTCAAGCTCAGGAGATCAAGTCGATCGAGCACAAAGCTGCCAAGAGCTTCAACAACATGTTTAAAGCCATGGGGGACAAGCAGGTGCCAAGTTGGACTCGCGAAGAGGCTTTGGGATGACTGACTACCCTGACACTCCAAGTCCTGACACAAAGCCGCTCCCCAACCAAGTTACCTGCCACTCACCCCTATTGAATGGTGAGAGGGACATTGCTTGCTAATGTGAAGGTTAGTATGTCGTCCTGCCAGTCCTACTCAATGCGAAACTAAGAAAGGCCCGACAAAAGATGCACCTAGCAGTACCCATTAAAGGAAGTAAGACACAAAAGCCACGGGGAACATAACGGAAGAGAGCAAGCGTGAGCTGAGGGTCCAGATCTTGGCTTCACAAACTTCTGATCATGAGGGCCCTGGAAACTCTGAAATCCAATTGTTTTAGCTTTCCTGAGCTTTTTCCAATTGTGCCAGCAGGTGTTTGGCAGCGGCCGCTTCCTCCCTGACGGCACTTCACCACCCCCAGCTCTCACAGGCAGTGGGACCGGCGGTATTCGGTGAAAAGACGTGAAGATCCCATGGTGTGGTCAGTATATGTGTATATATAGACATATATATATATATTTAGGGGGGTATGCCGCTAGAGGTAGCTAGTGGTAGCTAGGTAGCTAGTAGGATAGAGGTAGCTAGTAGGTACAGGGCGCTCCTAGGTAAGACGCAGGATAGCTCACGCTTCTTCAAGGAAGCTTCCCCCGCCGCCCCGCCGCCCTAAAGGTGGCGGGGGGGAGCTTCCTTGAAGAAGCGTTCGCACTATTCATTTGGTTCCTAGATATTTAGGGAAACTAACGATATATACTCTTGGACAATTTTTAGAGTCATGAATCCGTAGTCCGGTAGGCTGAATTGCTGCATTCTGCGGAGGTTACATTCGCTTTTGTTCAGATTTGCCTAGAGAAAGCAGTTGCTGTCCACTGTCTACTTGCAACCCAGGCAACTCCATGAGCTGTGTAACAAGTTTCCGAGTTTCCTTAAAAGAGGTTTGCTTCCATTGCTTTAATGAATTAAGCTCTTGGCCTTTGACGCATCCGCCAGGCGCTGAGGAAAGGCAGCTTAAGAGGATCAAGGTGACAGCGGGAATTTATGATCACTGTATATACTTGTGGATTGGATGTGAGTTAACGGCAGGGCCTAAGATGTGGGTAGAAATTTGAGTAGAAAATCAGTGTATATATAGATATAGATGGTTTCATTGGATCCAGAATGGTCCAAATCGGCAGCTCCCAGTTCTCACAGTGACATTCGGCGTTCCAATGGGGTCGATCTTGTTGTCGCATGCGGTTGATCAGGCGACATTTGTGCTCACCCAGATTGTTTCTCACCAAGCATTTGTTTTGTTCTTTAAGCAGTACATCTTGGCAGTTCCTCACGTACTAGTCACATATTGGTCCAAGCTTCCGCTGCAGGTGGGGTTATTTGGTGTTTGTCTTGAGACCAAGTCCATTGATTACTCTTTGCTGGATCTGGATTCATCGCCCTTGATTGACTACTAGACAATGAGGTACATGGCATCTTAAAGGGTTCAGATTGGAGATATTCAGAGCGCTTCGCGCTTGAAGCCGCCCGCATGGAGAGTGTGCGTTTGTTTGTCTCCGTCTGTTTGTCTCGGTCTGTCTGTCTCGGTCTGCCAGTCTGTCTTGTCAATAATGCAGTCACCCTCGGGCTGCAAAAAACCGACAATGCTTAGCTCCGAACCCACGCGGACAAGCATACACACGAGGTCGATTTAATTATCTACTCAAAAGCATCAAGAGCACAGCACTCTAGAGCGAAAGTGCGCCCACCCCCAAAGCTAAAGCTTAAGCTATGCTATCTAGCAGCTGTTCTTCCATTCTATGCGAACCGACACAATGCCCTCAGGAACCACATGCAACCACTAGTCATTGAGAATCTACCGCCCTGGAGGAGCAGGACGAATACAGGGCTGCAAAGGCCAAGTACGAGTTGGAGCAGCGCCGAAAAGCTGGGACCCTGAGGCAAAAGATGTAGAATGGTGAACATTGTAAAGCACATAAAAAACAGTTGACAATCTTTCGACGGGAGTGAGGGGGATGGTGAAAGTGAACCCAGTAAGTCACAAGTTTCGTGCTTCTGGTGTTGACCGTGGCTTTTGCTTTGGCCCGAGATTTCACCACGTCTCGATTGAGACTTAGCCTGCATAGATCTGCGTATATAGGCCCGTATAGATAGAAGATTTGACAGAAATCTGCAGTACTGGTAGGTTCAGGTAGGCTATGCTTGCAAGGAGCGTTTTACAACCGCGCTATGGTCTCACGCCTCTACAGTCACAACCAAGCTTGAGCAAAGGCCGATGCAAAAGCCGTTTTTGCGATTTGCTGCGCCTGAGCGCTCCTCGGTTCCTTTGTCTTCTGGGAACTCCTCTTGCATTGCGCCCAGTGTTGCGCCCGGTGTCGCGCTGGGTTTCGAGGGAAGACCAGGAAGATCTGAGAGATCTGAGGGCACTGGAAGTACACAATGGGCTTCCGAACATTGAACTCTTTGTGGCAGAGGATCCAGTTCTGGCGGCAGAGATCTTTAAGGAAGCAGGCCTTGTGTTGGTGCCAAATGCTGTGGGTGGAAGGCAGTGTCAGGAATTGTTGGAGGCCTGCCGTGAAGAGGAGGGGTGACCTTTGGAGACTATGGGTAATTAATCAATATTGAAAACATATTTAATCTTACATGAACAAAGAGTGTGTTACAACATGTTTGACGTTTGTGAGTGTGCTCAAATGACGGAGATTCGTTGAGGAGCTCTGGATGCTTCAGAAGGATCCTCGCAAGAGCGGCAATCGTGGAAGGGGGCGCTATTCTTTAGGATCGAGTAGCTTCCTTATATATGTTTTGGTTAATGAATAAGGGGTGCAAGCTGTTTTGCCCGAAGTGAAAGACAATTGCCGGAGTGGAGAAAGACAACTGTAGGCTGTAGGTTTCTAAACCGGCAGCCTCAGCGTAATCTCGAGAGGAGAGGCGCAGAAGACTGGACATCTTCTACATCGAGTCGAGTGGGCCGAACTGGTGGATGTGGAGAAGGATTGGGAGAGTCTGTTGCTCCTGTGGTTCTTCAAGGGACAGTATACTGTATACTGCCAACCCTGAATTGATGGACCCTCCTTGTGTCTATACTAAAAACAACATCTGAATTAGCCCAGCTCTTTCGACTCGTTTCCGTCTCGCCAAAGGCTGACACCGTATCTAAGGAGCAGCTCGCCACCACATTGGAACAACGGAAACAAAGTTGAGTCCGAAGCCACCCTAAGCTCTCGAGAAATCTCTCTATCTGTCTATTTGTCTATCTATTTATCAGCCTTCTGCAGCTTGAACGGCTGACCTGGCCACGATGTGCTCTCCTGGTCTCCCATGACTTCCTGGGGCCAGTGCGCAAGGGTGTCCCAGCGCCCAGTGTGGCGCTGGGGAGTCTTCGTGCTTGCACTGCTGGCCCTTCTCCAACAAATCAAAGTGCTAGTGACGCTCGTGTCTCTTGCCTTTGGTGGGGCAAGCAAAGATGCTCTAAGACTTTACTAAGCTCGACCGGCTCGACCTACATTTCGAGTTAAAAGACACATGCTCTTCAGGTCACGACGGTCACGACAGACCCTGCAGGTATCGGCTGTGCTGACTCGAATCTTTGGAGGGAAGGACTATCTTTGTGCGGGTGCAGGTGGGCATGGACTTAAGTTGTGAACTTTTTGCAATTTGATGGCCAAGCTAGAAGACTTAAACATTTTTTTGCATTTTGGCTGAGGTGGTGACAGCGTTTTGCCAGGGGTCAGCGAATACCAGCCGCTTCACGCTGATCTCAACTTTCCGGGATGCCATGAACGTAGAGACTCTCCAGTGGTGACCCTAAATGTCCCGCTATCCCCTCTGACGTGGTTGAATGGCCCCACGTCACTGGGACGTTGGTGAATTAGATTGGCAACCCAAACAATGTTTAACCGACAATAATGTAGAAGGGCATTAATCTACAGATAATTTGCCGTACATTCTGATTGTTGATGTTTTGTAGCTTTGCGCCGTGCCCCTATCTAGGCGAGTTATTCCTGGAACACACCATGTGAAGGAAGGGTGGTCCTGCTGGGAGCCACCTGATCCGAAGAAGGAACCTTATGACTCTTGGTCTTGTGGAGAATCTGTTTTGTATTTAATATGACAGTCAGATTTGGAATGGGGTGCCACCAGACCCAAAGCGCCGCCATTCCATGCCATGCAGCCATTTATGAAGCTACTATTTTTGATTCACATCCACATAAACCATACATGTATTTTGCCCGCTTTTCGCATTGACTCTTTTTCGGCAAGAAGGACTGGCGCTACTACACTTTGTGCCCACTCCCTGCAGGCTTGCTGCGCCTTGGGTATTTGCGATTGTGCATGTTCAGCTTGTCTCAGGTGGTGAGAAAGGGATTTCAGCCAGACATCTTCAGAAACACTTATATACTGTAGCCGATGCAGATTGAAAGCCTGGCCTCTTCTTGCATTGCATATTCTTGCATCGCTTGAGTGTTCATGCAAGGCAGCACATCATGACTTTTATCTCCAACTTCAAGCGATGTTTGAAAAAAAAACAACTCCATTGCACTTTGGCATTGAACTTTTGATGCCAAAAGCCAGGCACCGCCATTTTGCGAGACAACCGCTTGTGGCATGGCGGGACACCGAACCTGTCTCTCGGATCGAGAATGGGGAGAATTTGACTTGACTTGACTTACGCCGTTCACCTGAAGGAATGGATCACAACAGTACAAGAAGATACAAGAAGGCTTTAAGCAAAGCTGTAGGTTTTTTAGGTCAGTTTTAAGCTTTAGGTCTCGAGCCACGCGCTTTTTGCCCAACGTGGAGTTCGCTGCTAGCTGGTGGTGCTGGGGATCCACCGATACGCTTTGGCGGAATCCCTGGAAGCTGGCGCCTCGATGCATGCCACGGCGCCTGTGGAGAAGGCTGAACTGGATTCTGGCTAGTGCAGCTAGTGACATGGATGCTTAAAACAGGACAGAGAAGAGGCAGCTAGCAGGGACCTGTATCGTTCATCAACTAGGATTTTCTTGGTTTCGAGTGATGTTTGACAGGCCAACTTGTCTCATTGTGTGGAGACTGATAGGGCTGGCTTTTTGGTGTCATGTTGACCCTGAAGGCTCTCACCATTTGGCCAGCATCTTTGCAGGCATGGTGAAGACAAGAGGGCGTGCGAATCTCAAAAACACTTTCCCATGAACTGAACCGTCCTTTTGCCTGCCCTAAGTGCAAGTCCAAACAACTCCAATTATCACAAACAATTTTCAGTAGATCCATGCATCTTAACAGTCTGAGCAGGCTTGTTGCAGGTGGACTTGGGTACAAGAAGCCAAACTGGAACTATTTGAATATCGTCCAAGAATAGCAACAGTGTGGAACGGTTGCACAAAGAAATAAGAAAGCAAACGGTTAAGGAGTACCAGGCTAAATCAAGTTCATAATGGCTGGAAGAATGGATGTATATACTCATGTCATAGGCTGCGGGAGAAAACCACATTGATTTTGGTCAATGAATCAAGGTTATGCATCTACAAGCTGAATCTTTTCGAGAGTCCAGAGGATGAATCCTTTCCTGCCGCAGGCTGGTGGTGTCGGACGAGGATTTGGACTATGGAGTGCGGGAAGACTTTCCACATGGCTAGCTGCCAGCAAACCAACGTTATTAGTATTGGTGGGACACTGATGTCGTGACCGAGAGCTCCGAGCTGTCCCAGAAGACAGACTGCGAGAATGCAAGTTCACTCTTCAGGACAGCGTACTTGGTCGCGTACTTGGTCTGAGTAGGTATTTCCTGTCCAGAGAATGAACTCTTCGGGAAAACTCGCAGCCAGCCAGCCGCCGGCCAGCCAGCTGAGCAATGAACAATATTTTACTTGTACTATCTTATATATATATATATACATATTATACACATACACACACACACACTCCAGTTACTTTTTGGTCCAATGCTACTTGAGCGAGAGGCTTCTCCGTTGGTCCAGATGTGACTTGACAACAAGAACCTCAAACTGACAGTTCCGAAAACCTGAGAATTGTTTTGTTGGTGTGTATTTCTTGCATTTTCTTGCTACCGATTCTACCAGCAAAAACCAGAGTATACTGTTACCATTTGGCGCTGCATGCACTGCATGCACCACTCTTATTGAGAGTTTTTGTGCTCCTGTATACGGAGACCCAGGCATTCATGCACTGGAAGTCGTAAATCAGTGGGAAGCACAGGAAGAGTTGCTCTATTGATGGTTTTGATCAAGCTTTCGAGGCTCTAGGAATTTCAAGCATTGCTTGCTAGTAAAGACTTGCAGCTGCCGTCGATTTTGCCTTTTACTAGGACAAGCAAGCATGGCAGCTAAGCCTTACAGGGACCGCTTGGAATGGTTGGCAGCAAGTTGACATTGGCACTTGTGCGAAGACAAGAAGGTGGCATGATTCGACAGGAAGCATGAAGCAGCTGTAGCGGAGAAAAGTCAAAGCGGCGTGGGCTGAAAGCTTCTATATAGTAAGGTTCGACGGGAGCCCTTTATGATTCTAACTCTAGAGCATTCCTGATTCTAGGCCCTTTTGATAGGCCGTGGCCTAGGTAATAAAAGGATCTCAAAGTACTTTAAGTTTCAGACAGGGACTGGAATGCGTGTTGAACAGAGGCACTCCTCTCCAAAGTCATGCCGATTTGCACCCATTGAACTTTTGAGAATCCCATGCATGGCTGCATGACTTCTTGGGTGTGCTTGTGCGGATAAATTCCACGACAAGCTTAGATCACAGAAGTTTGCAATGAGGTCGCTGTGTCTCCAACTAAAGGTGGTCTAGGCCACTGCAATGTTCATCTACACACCACTTGCATCATCTCCATGTCATAAGCATTCCGCCCAGGAAGGGAAACCTATCATAGACGAGCCCAAAGAGCCTGACATGCCAACGCCCAACAAGCCAGTGCCCCAGTTGGATTTGTCCGCCCTGCACAATGGTTTCTGCTCCTCCATCAGTCTGGGAAGCAGCACAGCCACAGCTTGGTTACAACCTCGGTACGAACTCTTGGAATCTCGAGAACTTGGAATTGAGAGGGCCTTCAGGTGTTCAAAGGGAGCTTCGGGCCCTTCTATAGCTGTTGAGTCTTCAACCGTCTATTCGTTCGCAGGCCACCATTCGGATACAGGACATCAGAAAGAACCAGGACAGTGTCCAAAGGCTGTTTCTCAGAGTGTTCAAAGCATTGTGGAATGCTTACAATTCTTTCGTTGAAGTTCTGACCAGGACCCTCACAAAGGCGCAGGCACAGCAACTCTTGGAGGAGTGGATTTCAAGTGTTGTGAGACACTTTTTTCACCTGCATTTCGCTTGCGGTTTGTTGTTCATACGTTATATATGAATGAGCAAGAATGTGCACTCCTCAACCTTCTGATCAAGGGGATTTTATGTCTTGGGGCGCTGTGCTCACTGAAAGCTTGGCCCTTGTCTCTTCTTTTTCATCCACCTTATATTGTCCGGCCCGCTGCTATCCTGGATTGCTGGACTTGCTCTGGGCATCATCACAGGGCTGCTTCTTGGACTTTGGCTTGCGTGGAAATTTGTCACCGCCTCTCCGTCTGTCTCTCCTCTCTCAAGTCAAGGGAGCAGGTGCCTTTCAGCCCTAGGATCCATCCCCGACATGATCTTCTGCTGGTTGAAAGAACAGGATGCGCCACAGGCAGACTTTGGCTTTGGCTGAGATTCAGGGAGTGAGCAGGAGGGCTCGGCCTGTCAGACCTGGGCAGGGGAATGGAGCCGCGCAATGCATGACCCATTTCACCATCTCCACCGATTACATCCCCAGAGCTTCTGTGATTGGATGAGCTTGGCCTTTGTTGGAACCTCTGACCCTACCAGCGCGGTGAGACGTGAAACGGCAGTTTTTCCACGGGCAACCTCTCCTCCAAGAAGCCATGCGCCGCAACCATCCTCCGGACGATGTACTCAGCTTTTCTTCAGGACATGCCCGTTGATGAGGCCCATCATATCACAGGAGACCACAGTGTACGCGGCAGTTGGCGAAGATACACATCAGCGGTCTCAGCCTGGTTCATGACCAGAAGGTCTGGCCAACTATTCAAGGCCACCTAGAAACAAGGAACGCTTTGCTGTGACGCTTTTGGCTGTTAAGCGGACAAGTAAAGAGGACCGATTGGGAAAAACAGGGTCTGTAAAGAAAAACGGCAACAAACAGTAAAGAAACGTGGGCAACAAGGAAAGAGAACAAAAGATCCCTTAAAGTGGGCTGGTGTGTTTTGAGCGGCGAAGCTGGTAGTGGGATACTGCTTGATTCCTTGACTGCCGGCAATCGGCGACTTTGTCTCGGTGAACGTGTGTTCAGAGCGAAGCCGTTGAGGGTGCCAACTCTTGCTCCAGCGTGTTCACTTGCCTTCATACGATAAAGTGGTGGAAGAAATGACACCTGGAAACCATTCCCGGTCGCAGAGCCACCTGAATTTGGATGTTTTTCAATTGTCCGAAAAGATTGCTTTGAAGTCAGCCTAGCCCTTCAAACACTTTTATCAAACGTCCACCTTCAGCCCAGTCGGCCATGGCGCCGACAGGCCACAGCTGTGATGCTTTAAAGCCGTGGGCGGCTGTCCTTTTTGAGAGTTTTACTTTTCAGGCCTCACTTAGGCCTTTCAATTTTCATACACACTATGGCCCCAATAGCCTTGTGCAGTCTGGCAGTTGAAGGTGCTGAAGCAGTCCAATACGGAACAGGCGGGGTACCGTCAAGTGTCGTATTTGCAAGTCCCTTGATGTAGCTGCCGTGTTTGCAGACGTTATGAAACTGTTTTGATATTGACATATTCGCGTGTGGAAAGCATTGCGCGAACTGCCAAGTCGAAGCCGTGGGCGGAGGAGAAAAGAGCTGCTTGAGCCAACCGAGGGGGCTTCATGTGGATGTGGCCAGGAGCCAAGAACATGCATTTGTAATCATTTGTAGACTCAGAGGTGGTAGCCGCGTGATTTTGGATTCTGCATACGAGATTAGACGATAACCCTTGCGCCCATGGACAAAACATAAGGTTTGGTGGTGGTTCCTGAAACCACGTTCGATGTGCAAAGTGGTTCCTGTTCTTTTCCCAATGACTCAGTAAATTTTTTCGTGGCGCGTCAGTTGGAGGCATGTTTGAAGTTACCATGCGTGATTGTTTAATTTAGGGCCTGCGCAGCGACAGCATGCCTATGACCTATGACACTATGAAACGGACAGAGTGCCAGAACATTATCTTGATTTCATTTTCGTAGATTTCTTGAACAATTTTTCACCAAGGATGGTCAGCTCTATGTGGCTGACTTTGCAAACTTCAGTGTGGTGCGCTTTGGCCACAATGACGATGCTGCGGGGCGAGTCGTTGTGGGTGAACGTGGGAAGCAACTCATGGATGTGGATTACCTCAAGGACCGACGATGTTGGTGCCACTGGCAGGTGCCATTCGGGTGCAATTGAAGATTGCGCGTGGCATTTTGCGTGTTGAACCCACACAAACTTAATGATGTTCTGCTAGCAGAACTTGACATCGGCAAGACATCGCATGCACTTCAGGACATTGACAAGCCTTTGTCTCTTCCAGATGGCGAGGGAGTCTTGTTGAAGAACCCCATAGACATTGTTCTGGACTCGTCCTGCTCTCGCAAATTTAAGTGGCGTGAATGCAGAGTTCCCTGCAGCGTTTTGTAGCTTCAAACAGCTAACAAGCCAGGGATGGAGCTTTGCTGGTCTTGGACTGCCCTATGGGCCGGGTGCAACGCTTTGAGCTAGGCGGGAGTGGGGTGTTGTACTAGAGTTTTCCGGTATGACAAGCTAGTCTTAAGACTTGCGACGACAGGCAACCACTGGAAATGTAGTTTTTTCCCGAATGCGTAGCGAAGGGTTCCCGTTTATAGTTGGGGGTCTGGGGGTTGGAGCTGTGTTCGCGTGGCTTGCGTCGTGTCGTCGTCTGTCGTCGTCTGTCGTCGTCTCTCGTCGTTTGTCGTCGTTTGTCGTCGTTTGTCGTCGTCGTCGCGTCTCAAATTTGCTGCCATTGGGGGAAGCTTTTGCAAGTGACTTTGCATGGACGTATCACGTGTCAGTTTGCGACGCTATTCCATTGTGATTTGCATGACAACGACATGTCGCGCATGAAACGTGATGCATTTCGCTGCACAGGCGCAGCGTTTTGTGAGATCCGCAGATTGCCGCGCAGTTCCATTGGGATTAGCGTTTGGAGAGTCGTTTTTTTGGGGTGTTGGATGTGGCCGTGCCATTGGGATTTGCGCTTCAGGGTGTGGCATCGAAGCTCGGTTTTCGTGACAAGTCTCAGCTGAAATGGCGATTTTGGTGGATGGGAGTGTGCTCAGAATGGGTCGAAATCATTCCAAACGTGCGGTGTGGTGCAAATTTTGTTGAAGCTCACAGGAGATGATATGGTCACTTTTCGTGGCAGGCGCAGGACTTTGTGCGGGTTTTGAGGCGTGGAAGTGCGATTCTCGTGGCAGGCGCAGGGAATCGTGAGGTTGCGAGGTGTGACGGAGGTCACATGTCGTGGCAGGCGCAGTACTTTGTGCGCGTTAGACGTGTGGATGGGGAAAGATTCGTGGCAGGCGCAGGGAATCGTGAGGTTGTGAGTTGTGGTAGAGGTGAATGTCGCTGTCCCATTGGGATTGGTGTGTGAGCGGATGTTGTTTGGAGGGGCTGGAATCGCGAAACTGCTTGGCAGGGCTGCGTGATGTGTGTGCTCCGATGGGTGTTTCCGCTTGACTTTTGGAGGAAGTCTCGTACGAAACGCTCGTTTTGCAGACTTTGACGTGTGAGTTTTTGAGGAAGTCTCGCACGAAACGCTCGTTTTGGAGACTTGACGCGCAACCCTCTGCGGAGATCGTGCGTGTCGAGTGTGCGAAATGCAGGCGAGAGTGCGATTTGTCCCATGCGCGCGCAACCCTCTGCGGAGATCGTGCGTGTCAAGTGCGCGAAATGCAGGCGAGAGTGCGATTTGTCCCATGCGCGCGCAACCTTTGCGGAGATCGCGCGTGTCGAGTGCGCGAAATGCAGGCGAGAGTGCGATTTGTCCGGTGCCCGCGCAACCCTCTGCGGAGATCGTGCGTGTCGAGCGCGCGAAATGCAGGCGAGCACCGGCGACTTTGTAGTACAACTTTAGTACGCGGGGTATCTGGGGAGCTGGAAGATGAGAACTGGTGACTTGGTAGTACAACTTTAGTACGCGGAGCAATCTGTGGAGCTGGAAGCTGAGAACTGGCGACTTTGTAGTACAACTTGAGTACGCGGAGCAATCTGTGGAGCTGGAAGCTGAGAACTGGCGACCTTGTAGTACAACTGTAGTACGTGGAGTATCTGGGGAGCTGGAAGCTGAGAACTGGCGACCTTGTAGTACAACTTTAGTACGCGGAGTATCTGGGGAGCTGGAAGAGAGTCCCACAAGAGTGTCCCGCAACAGTGTCCCACTAGAGTGTCTCACAAGAGTGTCCCTTAAGAGTGTCCTACAGGATTATCCCACAAGAGTGTCCTACAAAAGTGTCCCACAAGAGTGTCCCACAAGAGTGTCCTACAAGACTGTCCCACAAGAGTATCCTACAAGAGTGTCCCACAAGGGTGTCCCACACATTTTCCCACAAGAGTGTCCCGCAAGAGTCTCCTACAAGACTGTCCCACAAGAGTGTTCTACAAGAGTGTCCCACAAGAGTGTGCCACGAGAGTGTCCCACAAGAGTGTCCCGCAACAGTGTCGCTCAAGAGTGTCTCACAAGAGTGTCCCTTAAGAGTGTCCCTCAAGAGTGTCCGACAAGAGTATCCCACAAGAGTGTCCCACAAGAGTGTCCCACAAGAGTGTCCCACAAGAGTGTCCTAGAAGAGTGTCCCACAAGAGTTTCCTAAGAGTGTCCCACAAGAGTGTCCTGCAAGTGACCCACAAGAGTGTCCCACAAGAGTGTCCCGCAAGAGTGTCCCACAAGAGTGTCCCACAAGAGTGTCCTACAAGAGTGTCCCACTAGAGTGTCCCACAAGAGTGTCCTATAAGAGTGTCCCACAAGAGTGTCCTACAGGAGTATCCCACAAGAGTGTCCTACAAGAGTGTCCCACAAGAGTGTCCCACAAGAGTGTCCCACAAGAGTGTCCCACAAGAGTGTCCCGCAGAGTGTCCCACAAGAGTGTCCTACAAGAGTGTCGTACAGGAGTGGCCTACAAGAGTGTCCCACAAGAGTGTCCCACAAGAGTGTCCTAGAGTGTCCCACAAGAGTGTCCCACAAGAGTTTCCGACAAGAGTGTCCTACAAGAGTGTCCTACAAGAGTGTCCCACAAGAGTGTCCTACAAGAGTGTCGTGGAAGAGTGTCCCACAAGAGTGTCCTGCAAGTGACCCA